TGTTTCAATATTGAGTACAAAGAGACATATACTCGAAAAGAGGGTCACCTTTATTAGTAATAATGGAATGGAATGATAATCTTGACGTAAAGTGTAACTTATTTCATGATTTCCAACAAGAGATTCTGGTAGTTGAATTTTTTCTTCGCTATGATCATGTTGAACCAATGCATTAACCGGTTTAGAGGATGGATTCGAAGTTGAACCAGAATTGTTGATTCCTCGAGGTTTGGTTCTATCTGGACAATCTGGTGCGATATGGCCTATTTTCTTGCAAATGTAAGTTAATCCCTTGTGTCTTGGATTTGGTAATTCCGAGCATAAGGTCGTGATTTCGGCTTATCTTTAGATAAAGAGCGGAAATACCTTTAGGTTGATTTCGATCACCATAACGCTCAGTCTTTGCTTTCTTTCGTTGTTCCAATTTCTCATAATAATATCGATAAAGACAATTAATGATCTTTTGTTCATCATTGTTAATACCATTTCGATAGATTTCTTGTTGAACAAAGTCAGGTAAATGACTAATTAGATCAAAAAGGAATCCCTTTTCAGTAACATGATCTTTTACTTTCTCTAATTCTCTTAACTTATCGATGAATAACTGAGGAGGTTCCGAGAAATCGTAAGTGAAGTTTCTGAGCTGATAAGCTGCTTTTGCTGTGAAAGTGGGCATACTCAGTTTCTCGTTGAGAGCATTAATATACTCTTGATAATCATCGATTGAAGGATCAATTCGATTAGCTAAGTGTAGCAACTCATGAGCTAATCCTTTTTTAAAGCACCTTAATCTTGTTTGGTCGTCACATTCTTCTAAAGACAATTGGTTTACAGTCTTTTTTATCCAAGAAGACATGTCTTCATTCTTCATGAATTCGGTGACTTTTGGATCACGTCGATTTGCAGCAACAAGAGATTCAAGTAAAATATTGAATTTATCATTACCTTGAGGGTTAACAACATCATTTACTTGACCAGTAGATTGAACATTAACAATTGGTTCACTTGGTGATGGTGAACTTGGTCTTGAATTATCTGTAGATATCGTTCCAATTTCGCCAATGGCTCGTAAATCTGTTATCTTATTCATGGTTCCAATTGATAAATTCAATGATTTTAACACATCATCAGTAACAGAGTAAATGAGATTTTCTTCACGTCCAATACGTGTAAGAATTATTTGAATTTCGCTTTCAGTAATATTTAAATTACGAAACTGAGTGAGCCAAGATGGAGGAACAATTTCCAAAGCTTCTTCAACAGGAAGATTATCAATTTCATCTGAATTTAATTCATCACCGTTAACCATGAAGTTGGTTTTAATTACTTCTTTAACTCTCCTTCTAAGTAAAGAGTTAGTAGGAATATTGGTAACATTTAAATTGACCAATAGATCACGAAGACCTTGAGTAGTTAAGGTTGAAATCGTGGACATATCGAAGTTAACCAAAGTTGAAATGAGGGATTGATGTGAACTTTCAGATGAATTAACAGAATTTGAAGCAATAGAAATATTGTAAGTATTTCTTCTGGTATTTACCATTAGGTAAAAAGTTAAACACAAAATTATCTCTCAAGAGATCACTTTAACTGAGTTATTATTAATTGAAATCCTGGCAAGTTCGCCAAGTGAAGGGATTTAATTTACTTAATCTTGTTGATTAATCACTAAATTTCTCTGGGAATAAATGAAGAGTAAGAATCGGTAATGTTAATAATTCGATTAACTTTTAAATCGTTAAATTACCACAACACGATAATTGAATCAGATCAATTGAAATAAATATTGAGTCAGTCTCAAAGAAAAAGGTAAATTAACTTAAGTTAATCAGTGGAGATTCCGAATCTGTCCTTCACTAATACAGATCAATTTAAGGTTCGAATGAGGATTTCAATTAATAATAATAACACAGAATTTAACTAATATAATTAAACTTTTATTTTGAACAAAATCTCATAAGAGTAAAGGTAAAGATGAAAATTGAAAATTCACTTAAGTGAGAAACATGAATCGTATTCTGGTGAAAGTTAGAATAAGACTAACTCATAATTAACTTCTTCTTCCTTTTATATGAAGTTTTCTTCATGGAAATTTTGACCGTTAATTGTTACCAGTTAACCAGAAAATCTAACATAAGATAATCAATCATTTTTCATTAAATTTCAGTTAAGTTAACTTATTGTTTTTCTTGATGATGATTATATGTTAATGGTGAGACAATTTTAGTGAACGATTTTATCTTAAGATAAATAAAAGAAAGAAAATTAATGAAAAGAAAGAAAAAGAAAGAAAAGAAAGAGAATAGACTTTCTGTCTGTTACCAAGAGGTTAATTGGTAATGTGAGACATCAAGTCTGATTGTTTTGTTAATCTTTTTCTTGGGAAAATATCAGTTATGTGTAATAGTCACATAAACAAGTTGTTAACTATTATTATTAAACTGTGATTGGTAATCTAATTTTAACTGAATCTAATTACTGTGAGTAACTAAAGTTAATTGTTGAGATTTAAATGAAGTAAGAAAATGATTAAAGTTAATTGTTAACCAGAAATTAACAAATGAACTGAGAGGTTCGTGATGATCAACCCTACACTATATCGAACAATTTATAATAATAAATTAGCGGCTGAGTCGAAATTCATGTTACTGAGCTGATTAATGTAATTAATTAACGTAATATATTACTAATATTTGGTTTGTTTTGTTTTGTTAGATTAGGTTAGGTTAGGTGTCACTCGTAAACGGGTCTATTAATGAAAAAAAGGCCCGGAGGGCCTAAGACAATCAAACCGAATTTCACACTTATATGCCTGGTCTAATCCAAGTCATATTTTTTCTTTTCTCTGACTCAATTCAGATAAAAATTTGAGTTTTAATTAAAATTGTATATCACATCTACTAACTAAAGTTTGCTATTTTGCCCTTTGCTTATTTGACTTTGCTGTTTTGACTTTTGCTATTTTGCTCTTTGCTGTTTTGACCCCAAATCAATATTAATAATAGTTGTCTCTCATTAGATTTTTGGTTAAATTGTTGATTTATCAGATAATCTTTCTCAATCAACATGAAATGTTGACTAGTATTTGGAGCTTAAAATTTAGGGATCAGGATAATTTGGATATTATTACAATGATTATCCAATTAACTGTCCAAGGATTAGATGAAAATTCATTGACCTATCAGCTTTTTTTACTGGGACTCTAAACTTGAATGAGTATCAATTAAAGACATGGAAACAATTAGCAATTTGATTGCAATCTGATTGGAATCATCGTAATCAAATGACATCAGTTATTAAACTAATTGATCATTTTGTCCTGTTGTTGTTTTCACCTTGAGTTTTTACCTTGCGATGCCCAGGAAAAAAAAAGTTATCAAAGATTGACAGTTGATTGAAACTCTAGATTTAATTAACAGTTATCAGATCTCAATTAAAAACAATTTGTTGATGTTCAAGTTTAGACAGATATTTATATTTATGTGTATGAATAGATTAAGATATAAGATAAAGATGATGAGGATGATGATTAGATTTGAAGCTGAGTAGAAAGATGAAACAAAAAGGGAAATAAAGATGAAGATAAAATCAATCAATCAAGAAATCGATGCTCATCATCATCATCATCTTTCTGATGGTGAAACAAAAACTGTTTCAACACAAATTGAACCTTAGATGAAAATAAGATTACGGATTTGCAAGGATAATCTCTCAGTCCTGATTAGAGGAGACTAAATATTCATTGGGCTCATCTGTCCAGTCGATTGCCCGTCTACCACCATACGAAGTTTTTGATGGGTCAGTTAATCTGAACCCGTTTTCAGTGTTCAATCATCTTGTTTTCCATTGATATCTTGAGTATCAGTTTCTCTATCTATCTCTTCATCATGATGATAATTTTTCAGAAAATTCATCAGCGATAATTATAATGATGAAGACACACCCGATACTAATTTAGATTGGCTAATATTTGACAGTTTTTCTTTTCATAATTTTTTTCTTCCTAATTCTGGATTATTCTGATGTGTGATGATGATGATGATCTAATTGCAGGGGATAAACATTTCTCTTCTTAATTGTAATTGATTCATTTCTAATTATTTGATGCAATTGATTTTCACTTGATGATAATATTATTTTTTTTCTTCTTCTCAAATGCTGAACTTTATCTGTCACTCTCATCGTATTTAATGTTTATTATTGACACTTAGAAATTGAATGATAATCAATTTTGAAATTTAAACTAAATTTATTTACAATTTTCTTTAATTATCAACTGTTTAGATCAAATCGAATTAAATTTAATCAAGATAACTGATTCTTTTTTTCTTCTCATTCTTTTTTTCTCACTCTTGAAGAAAATACTTGTACATATCTTTTACCTTCAGGTCATTTTCGGCTATTTTACAAGACTTTAGAAATTTTCTCTCTTTCTTATCATTCTCTCTTTGATTTCTATCAAATTTGATTTAATTTATGGCGTTCATATTGATAATGATGATTAGAAAGACGCAACTAATTATATCAACACTTTACCAATTGAATCAAAAGTAAATAATTAGAGAGAGAGAGAGAGAGAGAGAGAGAGAGAGAGAGAGAGATGATGATTGTTGATGAATTATTCACAATCAGATTTATCTGATTCCTCGTTCAAATTAATCTATTTGATGATTTATTCTTTTCGATTTCGAGTTATCAAGAAAAATAGAGATAAAACTTTTCACTTGCGAAAAGTTTGTAAGCCGATTCGAAAGAAATGAAAAGTTATTTTGATATAAATTCTGTTATAATAATTTTACCGAATAATTTTGTTAAAAATTTATGATGACCACAATTCCTAATTAGTAATTAGAACTGTTAGAACTTTTTCCTGTCACCATCTAGTGGTCAGTCGGACAAATAGAACAAAACTTTTTTTCCATACCTATGCTGCCATCTATCAAACTAATTGGGTTTGATGATCGAAGTTGAAATTAAAAATTAGACGAATCATTGATCAATAATTGTGGTTTAATCTCAATTTATTGTTTAAATAGTAATAATAATCATTTGAATTGAACAATTTCAGATTATTCCATGAGTTTAATGTCCCCAACCCCATCCGCTGTGACTGTTGAGACCTGAATGACCACAACCCCAACCGGACATCATGACGGGATAAGGAACGTAACCATGTTGACCTTGTCCACCCATGATGATGATTGACCCACCACCACCTCGACGAGCTTCAACATTTGCTATTGGGAGAGTAGATCACAATTAGATTGACAATGATAATAATTTGATTAACTAATTGTATTACAATAACTTACCAGAAAAAGCGATGACAATTACAAAGACACAGGCAAAGATAAAGTTGACAATTGATGAATTCATTTTTCAAAGTTATTGATTGTTGATCTTAATCAAGATTAGAATTGATTTTTTTCTTATTGTTGTTGATTCAACTGTTTACAATCAGATTGTGATACTTTAATCAATCAAATGAAATCCTTTTTATACTATTTCTCATTTCCTCACTCAATTAACAATATTTATGGTTGACCAATCTTAATTGTTACTCCTTCAACATTTATTAATTATCATTATAAATCAAAAGGAAATTATCAATTGGATTATTAATTAAATCAACTGCTATGAATTAAACTTGTTGACATGATTTGCTTGACTTATTATCAGTATTAAATAAAACATAATCAATTTTAATGTTCGATTAATTAATACGATCAAATATTGAAAGTTGATCGAAACCTTTAGATTTAATTAACAGTTATTAGATGTTAATTAAAAACAATTCGTTGATCAACAGGATACATTTAATGAAGAGCTTAAAGTGAAAGTAATTAAATCATTTCCCTGGTTGTCAATTGTTCAACAATCTACCTGATTAAAGTTTCCCTTTTCTCTTAAAATCAATTATTACTGATTCCAATTGAGTAAATGAGATGAATACTTTTAGTTAATTCATCTCTCATTTTTGATTGTGGGTTAAATTGTTGATTTATCAGATAATCTTTCTCAATCAACATGAAATGTTGGATAGTATTTGGAGCTTAAAATTTAGGGATCAGGATAATTTGGACATTATTACAATGATTATCCAATTAACTGTCCAAGGATTAGATGAAAATTCATTGACCTATTGTTGTTATCACCTTGAGTTCTTATCCTGATGCCCAGAATTAGTTATTAGAACCTGAAGTACAAGTGAGTTTGTTATACAAAAAACACTGAACAATTTGGATCAACCAAATTAGTGATTAGTTAATTTATATCAAGGCATTAAAGAAATTATTATTAGTAGTTGGAAAATTGTATTAAAATCGACAGAAACTTGAGTGATCGAGTTTTTGAACAATTATCATGACGATAATCATAAAACTCTCTCCCATCTCTCTTCGGATGAAAACTGTGATTGGAATATCTCATTTAATTGCAATACAAATTTCGGTAAATATCCTTTTCTTTCCATAATCTCATCTTTCGATTATGTCAATTTTGATGGAATTAGAGCCCGGATAGAGATATGATTAACAGAATTAAGAGAAAACCAATCAACTAAGACAAGATGATGAGACAAACAGATCATCTCTCACGAAACAATGGTACATAATTCATAGGGAGATGACAACTCGACCACTTTATCGTAAACCATTTTTAACTTTTTAAACATAAACATAAACGCAATCAAGCTTCATGTCTCTATTTTACTTTTCACAAATTTTATTGATCAAATTCATTTTAATCTCCATCGAAAGTCCGACTAATCAGATCAGAGAAACGATCTAAACAGAAATATACAAAGTGAAATATTTATTTGGTTCATCTGATTGGATCAGTGGATTGACCGTTTACACCCATACGAAATATTTGATGGATCCAAAGTCGTTTTTAGCATTAAATCATAACAACTTTGTCTCTATGAAATCTTTAGTTTATTTTTCATGAGTTTGAGTAAGATTAAAAAAACAAAAAAAAATGATCTTATTGTTCATCGGCTTCTAAATTGATATTATTTCGACCAAATTTAGCATAGAGATCAGTCTTCAGTTTGTTCATCTCTTCCCGTAATCGATCAACTTCATCTTTCATGGTGGAAACTTCTCGGCTCAATTCCTCCTTCTTCTTGTTCACCCATTCCAACGCTTCTTCCCCGGTGAAGTGAACAAACATTTCACCTTCCATGATGTTGAAACCTTCATCATCGTTCAGAGTTGAATACAAGTCCATCTCTCCAATTGATTCCTCTATATTTTTCAGTTCCTTTTCTTTGTTAACCAATTCCTCTTTGATCTCTTCTAATTTAGAATTGTGACAAGCAAAACGATTGATTTTACTTTGATCTTCATATGTAACTTGTAAATCACTAGTAGAAGTAACTGCTGAAGCCATGATTCCAATTGAAAAAAAGTTCCACAATTAAATTAATCTCCAAACAACAACAACAAAACAATCACAGTAAAAGAGATAAACCAAACCTCTTAATAGAAGACAATAGATTTTCGATTCTTCTTACAACAGGAACAACAGAATGAAAACTAAAATTGGACGTTAATTTAATTGCATCCAATTTCTAAATTAAAAAACAAACCTCACAATTTGGAAACAATTAATTCTAGAAAAACAAAATTTTCTCAAAATTGAAACATCAACAAAAAGAACATCAACTCCACCTGGCGAGTGAATTTCTCTTCAACTGATCATCTGGTGAAAAGAATTTTTTTTACTTTTTCTCAATCATTTTCTTTTCTAATCAACAATCATAAATTTTCTATTCATTTTCATTTAATTAATTGAAATTCTTTTTTTCATATTCTTCGACTGTGTTAGATCAATTGGCCAATCTTCTGATATGATTAGTTTTCCTCTCGATGGTGTTGGTCTAAAAAACATTAGTCGCTTAAATGTCTTAATGTGTTGATGAGGCTTTTAAATGTCAAGGTTGAAGCGTTTAAAAGGATTAGGGTTCATCATGATTATAATCTGATCCAAGGAAAGTTAATCTAAACAGTTTAAATTAAATTGTTGAAGTTTTCTATCAAAATTGAATTTCGTACCAAGTGAATGACGATTAATGCGCATGCGCCGTTTATTTTGTTTACTTTTTGATTTTGTTCAATAATCAATTTTGTCCTTATTTTGTAAATTAATATCTTAATCTAAGCTTTAATTGTGTAGTTTATTTTGTCATAATTTCGTAAAAATGTCTATCCATTATAAGTTCAAAGGAGATATGAAATCAGAGAGATTACCTGTTGATGATGTGTCAATTTCTGTTGGTGAATTTAAAAAGTGTATATTTGCTGATAAAAAAATAGATTCTTCTACAACTGATCTCATCATTACAAGTGAAGATTTGGAAGAATATGATTCTGATGAGAAGTTAATACCAAGGAATACAAGTGTAATCGTTGTTCGGGTTCCACTTAATTCTGAAAATAAGAAACGACTCAAAAATGAGGCCTCAACTCCGTCTGAGTCTCACAAGCGTGGATACGATTCAATAAAGGAAATTATAAAATCTTCTAACCTTTCAGAAGCCACAGAGGAGGAAAGTATTGAAGCGATGTTTAATCATTCAACTCAAGAATATGATTCAACGAAATATTCAAAAAACTGTAAAGCAGTTGGACCCTTACCGGCAAATTATACTTGTTATCGGTGTAATCAACCAGGTCATTATATCAAACAATGTCCAACCAATAACATGGAGATAAAGAGGAGTACAGGGATACCCAAGAGTTTTATGGTTCCAGCAAGTGCCGAGCAAAAAGGTGCCCTTTTAACGTCCAGTGGATTTGCTATTCCACTTATTGATCTGCAAGTTTATTCTAAGAAAAAGGTTAATAAACAAGCTCTGGAGAATCCAGAAAGACCAGAAAATGAAGCCAAAGAGAAAATTCCTGAACAATTAAAATGCTCCTTGTGTGGAGATTTACTTCGAGATGCCGTTTTTTCACCTTGTTGTGCAAGTAGTTTTTGCGATGAGTGTTTGCGAATGGAATTATGTCAAACTGCCGAGCATCAGTGTCCGTCATGTCTCATGACAGAGATAAAACTTGAACACTTAATTCCAGTGCTACGTTTACGTTTAAGCGTTGAAAAATTTATTTTAGAAAAATCTCAACAAGAACAACTCCAACTTCAATTAGAGCAGGAGAAGCAACAACAACAACAACAACAATTAGAACAAGAAGAGGAAGAAGAAGTGGAAGAAGAAAAAGAAGATAAAGAAAAAGAAAAGGAAAAAGAAGAAGAAGACGAGGAAGAAAAGGAAGAGAATGAAGAGAAAGAAGAAGAGAAAGAAGAAAAAGGAAAAGAAAATGATGACAATGATGACGAAGATGAAGAAGAAAATTCTCAACATCCAGAGGACGAACAACAACCACAGGAACCAGAACAAGAATCAATCCCTGACGATTCGACCAACATATCGAATAATGAATTAACTACCACTGCGACCGCGATCACTACGACTACCGGTTCATTGATCAATAGCGTCTCAAATTTTTTAGAAAACAAATCAATCATCAGTCAGCCAAATATGTGGAAACCTCAGAATCCAAGACAAACTATTCCAATTCGAAATCCGAATATGCATCATAATCTGAATGTCTATCGACCACCATATGTACGCCCTCGTCCTTTATTCCCTGATGGACCTCCACCAACAAGGTTTTCGATTCGTGATAATTTCGCAATTAATCAATCACCTTACACTTATATGCGACCACCAATTTTCGCTCCATTTAATTTCATGAACACTCATCCCCCTAATCAACGACCACTTTCTTTCGCTCAGTCATATGATTCTACACAATCGGGTAAGTTGATCTGATTGACAATCGATGTTAAATTTCTAATGACAAATCTCTTTTTCTATTTGTTTTAATTTTGTATTCCAGGTTATTATCAGAAATCAACTAGTGACGATGATTACGATGATCATGTTGATCGATTTGTCCAACAATTACAATCTGATTCCAGAATTCGTTTATCAAGATCACCTTCAAGATCAAGGCCGAGGTCCAGGTCACGTTCCAGGATTCGAGCTCATTCTAGGCCAAGACATCCGTACCATCGTGATCGGCTTGATGAAAGGGAAAGAGAGAAAGAGATTGAAAGAGAGAGAGAAAGAGAGAGGGAACGAGAGAGAGAAAAAGAGAGAGAAAGAGAGAGAGAGAAAGAGAGAGAGAGAGGAACGAGAGAGAACGTGAGAGGAAAGAGAAAAGAGAGAAAGAGAGAGAGAGAAAGAGAAAAGAGAGAGAGAAAAGGAAAGAGAAAGAGAAAAAGAAAGAGAAAGAGAGAAAGAGAAAGAAAGAAGAGATAAGGAGAGAAGAGATAAAGAGAGGAGAGAAAAAGAAAGAGAGAAAAAAAGAAAAGACAAAGAAAGGAAAGAAAGAGGTCGTGATGGTAAAGTTAGAGATCGAAATAAATATCGAGAAAAGTCCAAGGATAAAGTAAAGACCAAGAAAGATAAAAGTAAAATAAAGAAATTGGGAAAAGACAATTATCATGAATAAATTTATTCGAAACCAAAAGATAAATAAAGTTCTTTTTTTTGATAGAAATACTTTTCGACAATTTATTCCATGTTCACCCAAAAATCGAGGTTCATTTTCACGAATTTCAACGAACCGATTGAACCGAATTTTCCATCGGCTTCTAAATTGTTATTTCGACCAAACTTAATCGAGTTCGGTCTTCAGGTTGTTTTTCATCGATCAACTTGATCCTTCATGGCGGAACTTTTCAACCACAATCATCTCTCAAGAATCAATAGTATATAATTAAAGAAATGAGTCGAAATATTGATAAAAATAAATGAATTTCGAAGTTTATTATCTGGTTGTTTCAGGTTTTTTCATTGCAAGCATCGTGTTTATATCAAATGATAAATTACGAAGTTGATCAATGATCATCTTTAAATGATCGTTTTTTGCTTTAATTGTAATTGCAAGTTGATTCCTTTTATTGATCAAATTTTCGTCTTTAATTTTGTTCTCATGGATCATTCCTCTTCCATTACCAGATTCAGGTCCCTCCTTGTAAGGAATCAAACTGTCAACTGAAATATATTCATAGGGAGATGACAACTCGACCACTTTATCGTAAACCATTTTTAACTTTTTAAACATAAACTCAATCAGCTTCATATGTTCAGCGATTTTTGCTTTCTTTTCCTCCAAAATTTGAGTCTGCAATGGAATACCAGTTGGTGGAACAACTCCTTTTAGAAGACTGAATATCTCTGAAGTTCTTGTAGTAATTTCCTGAACAATATCCTGACCCCATTTACATAAAAGTGTTGAGCTCACAATATCAGGTAAACCCGATTGAACAACTGGTTGTCCCATTTGTTGTGGCATCATTGGTGCTTGTTGATTAGGTGCCATCGGTTGTTGTTGTTGTCGACCAGGATAAGAAGGAGCAGCCATTGTACCAGACTAATTAAACAATCAAAGTTTTAGAATAGAACAGAAAAAAATATTAAGACAAAAATTGAATAATCAAATTACCGGTTCAACCAAAAATTCAATGAAAAAAAGGTAAACAAATGATTCGATGATCGATTTTTTCGATACATCGATTCACAAAACCAAAAAAATTCTGAAAATTTGTTTACATTTGAATTGAAGAATTTGTTTTTCTTTCATTAATTGTTGATTGTTTCTTCCATTTAAATTGATTATCATGACTCTGTTTAAATTTCCTTCGATAGGTAAAAATGTTATCGAGAATCTAATGTCTCGTAATCTTTACACATCAACATCATTGTTCACATATCACAAGAACATGGAAGCAAATAAAGATCCTTTTCCTACACCAAAAAGATGGATGAAGAAAAATGAATTCATGGCATTTCCCATCGAACCAGATCAACCCAAACCACGAGCTGTTTATCATCATGCTAGGTAAGAACAAACTATTGAATAGTATTCGACAGTCATAAATATCGCTCGTTACGAAGCAAAGAAATCAAGGAACAACAACCATGTGTTATATTAATGTTTACCTTTTCTCTTTTCTCTTTTTTTCCATTTTTTTTTGTTCCAATAGAGATAATATCAAGTATTCACCTAAAAAGATGTGGTATATTTGTTCTTTAATTAGAGGATTAACTGTCGATGAAGCTATTAAACAACTTTCTTTTCTACCAAAAAAAGGATCTTTCATTGCTAAAGAAGTTATCGAGGAAGCTCAAACAGCGGCCATGGAAACTGGTTGTTTCGAGTTTAAATCAAACATGTGGATCGGTCAATGTTTTGCCGGTAAAGGTCTTGTTATCAAAGGATTCAGGAAACATGGAAGATTCCGTATGGGGGAAATTCGGTGTTTTCATACTCATCTATTTCTAGCTCTTGTTGAAGGTCCACCACAAGAAAATTTCTATTTCCCTGGTCCTTTGACCAATAGACAGCGTTTGGATGCTTATGTAGATTGGCTCAGGCAGAGGAGAATACATTGTTCAAATTAATCACTTAAGTTATCCTTTGGTCAACGATGTTTTCAGTTGACATTTCATTAGACAAACTGAATTGGAGAAAAAAAGATCAATTAAAACGGCGAAAGCAAGACGAGCAATTAAAAGGAACATGAGAAAGTAAAGTTGAAGGAAAGGAAAACACCGATGGTTCTTGAGTTAATCACAATTCGAAATGACAACGAATATTTCAAGTTGTTCCTGTTTTTCATATCTAATTTTTAACTATTATATTATTAATACTTTTGTCTCTACATTTGTGAGTCAGTTTTTGATTGATTAAGTCAAAATGTAAATAATAGATTGAATCATTTAATTAGAAATTAGATTTACATTGAACAAGAATTCAATGAATTACTTGGTTATTCTGTTAAACAGGAACATCAATAGTATTTGAAATAAAAAATGAATGAACAATCAAATAATCAAGATTCGAGAATCAATTAATGAGAAATGTATGAATGAATAAAAGAAAACAAAAAATTCAATGAAAAGACAATTAAAAACGTTGATTAAAATGAGAAGGAACCAGAAACCGTTTTGCTCGTGAATCGGTGGTCACTTTTTTGGACTTGATTTTTTGGGACTTTTTCGGACTTTGTGAGTAAAAGCACCAGGACAGATCTTATTGTTGAGACATTCGTCACACTTTGGTTTATATGGATTACAAATGGTCTGACCAAAACCAACCAGATTAAGATTAAGCTCTTCCCAGAGTTCAATGGGTAACCAAGATTCCAACTCTTTTCGAGTGTCTTCTGATTCCTTTGTTGGTTTACGAACCCAATTAAATAGATTAGCCAATCGATGGACATGAGTATCAACCCCAATTCCAACGGTAATATCCCAAGCAGCCTGTAAACACAGGTAACCCATTTTCGGTCCCACACCAGGTAATTCACAGAGCTCTTCAATTGTCTTTGGTATATCACCGTTGAACTTTTCCACCAACATGAGAGCACTTTTTTTCAAATTTTTCGCTTTCGTTTTGTAAAAGTTAACTGGTTTTATCTGCTCGGCGAGTTTATTTTCTGGAATGTCCAAAACGTATTGAAGATTGAGACCATTTTCCTTCATTCTTTTCATAACCGAAATGTTAAGAGTATCACGGGTACGACTGGAGATCATTAAACTAAATAGAATTAGAAATCTTTCATCTGGACCATCAAGTCGATCATCAATATTTCCTTCCATTGTATCAACAGGCGCCTTCACCCAAGTTCTCATTATTTTTATATTATCATAAATTTCGTGGAAATTTTCAGGGAACCATTTCTTTGGCTCTTCGATTTTTATATCATCAGGATTGTCGGTGATTCGTATCTTTTTACGCACTGGACGTTTACTGGCTGTCGACATTGTTGCAAATAAAATCGAACGTAATTTAAACAGGATGAGAGAGAAAACTGCAACACGAATTTAAATTTTAAATCTTTTTTTTTGTTTTCAACGAAAAAACAACAACATGCTGATATTAAGCGCGAAATTTGAAGAAGATTTTCGAAAGTTAAATTTCGCGCTTGTAAAATTGTTTTTCTTTTTCAATTTTTTGATTTTGTTGACATTTTTGTTTTCCTTTCAGTTCTGTGAACATTTAAATTGTAATCACTGTTAATTATTCGCTTTTGTTTGTAATTATTTTCCATTTCAATCTTTGTAAACATGTTGGAAATTACTGTTAATGATCGACTTGGTAAAAAGGTTAGAATCAAGTGTAATTCTGATGATACAATTGGTGATTTAAAGAAATTAATTGCTGCTCAAACTGGAACTCGAGCTGATAAAATTGTCCTCAAAAAATGGTACACAATTTATAAGGATCATATTACTTTAGGTGATTATGAGATTCAGGATGGAATGAATTTGGAATTGTATTACCAATGAAAATACTTCGACAAACATTCAGTCGTCAACAAAGAAATCACATTAATTCAATGGAAGGTGATTTTTTTTTATTCTTTCTTTTGTTTACAATAAACAAATTGATCTGAAAATTGGTAAACAAAAATCTCTACCAAAGAGTATCCGTGATCGACAATTTTACAAGTGAATAAAAGATGATTTAAAGAGAAAAAAGAAATCAATTTATTGTCAATCTAAATAATTGTTGTTTTAAACTTGGACAAATTTTCTCAACGATTCCCTCAATTCTTGATTAATGTGCATGTCATAGTCGGTTTTATCCAGAGCCTTAAAGGATTGAGCCTGTAATTCAGTGAACGTGGTTTCAAGTAATTCAGATAAATCAGTTTCCTTCGAGGGTAATGGCTGTTTAATAAAGTGAACCCCTGAGGCAATCTTGGTATTCCAATGATATTGTAATGTTGACAATTCCCAAAGTGAGCTTTCCATTGCATTTGAATTAACAGGATCATCTTGACTAATATCATATGGATCAGAATCAATTCCAGTTGAATATTTGTTCATCATAACAATTAAACTTGGATGCCTTACGAGAGCATTTTTAATTACTGGTAAAATGATGGTAATAGCGTCAATGGGAGCAATTAATGTTAATCGAGCCAATTTTTTAACGAAAGCAGCAACCAAATAACCTGGTATATGAGTTGATGTAAGGAAAATGTCGGTCCAATAAAAGAATCGAGCTCGATACTTAACATGTAACATATCGGCTGTTATAAGGCTGTAGAATTTTTTATAAAAATTTGGATATTCTAAATTACATTTACTAATCAAAATGTATAAAGATGACAAGGCAAGAACACTCGCCGATCCACCGATATTGAATGAAGAAATGAGAAAATCAGATAGACTCAATGGATTCCTGAAATGGGGGATAACCTTGGTGTCGAGCATCTTCAGGACACTACGATAAATAGGTAATGATAACTGGAAACAAAATAGTAAAAGAGAAAAAGAAATTAGTAAATTGTAACCAAAAAGTGAAGTTGGAGAGTTTTGTTCAACATTAGATGAGAAATTTACCTTGAATGTTAAGAAATTAAACCAAACAGAAGCAAATAGATCAGCTTGATTTTCGTAACAAAGATTCTTCGGTGTAAACAGGGGACCAGAATCATCTGATTTCTTGAATAAAACATCAACTCCAGTTGAACAATTAGATGAACCAGTTGATTTCCATTTTCTTTTACCACCAACTCGTTTACTATCTTTAGCCTCAAGTTTGATTAACGAGATTAAATCAAATGCTACAGTGATGAAATCTTCACCAACATTAACACCTACTTTTGATTTCGTTGCTTTAAACAGATTTAGTAGCGATTTAAGAACCAAATATTTAACATCAGGATAGATTAAAAAATTATCTAATATCTCAATTAACTCTTTACTCTTTTCACAAGGTCCATTGGTCAACACATGGTTACAAACATTTCTCACCAAATTGGAAGCACTTTCAGCGTTTGATGGTTCGGTGGGTGGAATAAGATCACAATTGATTGTAGATATTGATTGAATGAAAGAACTTTGATCCATTTAGATTGATTAGTTTAATTTGTAAAAGAAAAATTAAATGAATACACAGAGAGAGAGAGAAACAATTGAACATAAACAATTTGGTTTTCCAAAAGCATGACTATCGATAATCGATGAATCGAAAAAGAGAAACAATCGATTGTCGAAATTTTTTTTTCTCAACTAAATTACTTTGTAAATTGTTACTCTAATTACTATGATTATCTCACTTAAAGCAGGTAAAAATGTTGTCAATCCAAGAATCCACCAAGAAAGATCACAATCCCAAACGTTCATCATGTAATAAAATAAGATAAATGCTCCTGATCCATGAGCTGTTAAAGCTACAATTAGATTGGAAATTAATTGTTGTTATTAAATTAGCAAGAGAATAATAATTTGGCATCAAAATATACTCACAGAATAGACATTGCATTGGACAGAACATTGATATTCCAATCATAAAGTTAATTGTCTCAATTAGAGTAAGAAAAATGGATAAAGACAATGCGATTATAAATCTATGATATTTAAGTGAGAGAAAAACAAATTATAATTGATTAATAGATTGAGATGAGAATAACAATTTAAATTAATCAACTCAACTCAAAATCCTTTTCATGGTAAGAAGCTATTGAATTATCCCACCGAAGACAATTTCTAATTGAACCATCCTGATAATCAGCAGTGATTAAGAGATCGAGAAATTGATAAATAACAATAATGATTAACCACTAATTGTAGGAATATTAAAATAATTATGTTACTTACATGATCCCAAAGATGATCAATTAATAGTATTAAATGTCCGATTAGGGATAAAAAACGAAGTGAAATTAAATCAAGAATCTTCATGATAGAATTTGATTATAATTCTATTTGTTTAAAATTAATAGAATTCGCAATTGTTTTCATTGGTTACGTTTCTATGGAAACGATAATAGTTTTCATTTCGATTCTAAATGTGAATAAGTCAAAAGTTTCAATGGAAATTTAAATTTTTCTTTTAATTTTTATAACAATTTTATTCTTAAATTCAATGGGTTCAATTGATATTATGAAATTACGAACTCAACCTCGATTATAATGTCGTCGATCTTGTCTTATCCTTCGAGAATTGTTCATGACAATGTCCATTTGTTTCGATCGCCATTGGTAAAGCTTATTGGACATGGTTATCGAAACATTGAATAGATTTTCAATCTGAACATGATGTCGATGTAGTTGAAAGTAGAAATGTTTAATTTTAACATGAGATGACCTCAAGTCTCCAATGGTTGATGACCAATCGTGATTCTTATATAATGTAACTCGTTTTTCGTTAAGAAATGGGTCAGTGTAAATACTATTAAGTACATTGCCCACCGAGGGAATTGAACAGTTACACTTGAAATTTTGTTCATCTTCGATTTTCCTTTCTAATCGATTGATCTCTTTCAGAGGTAGAACCGAATCATCAGTCCAATCATCGATTTCCTCATCTTGAGTTTCCAATATTTTCGATAATCCCATAATCCAACATCTTATAGTCTTAATTACCTTTTGGTTACTTTGTCCAAACATTGATTCCATTTTAACTAAATCAGCGATTTCATCGATAAAATAATCAGTTCTATCAATTGTATCACATTGGTCGAAATCATCATCATCATCATTATCATCTTCTTGCTTGTGTCCATCGTCCTCATGATGGTCAACATTTTTCTCCTCTTTTTCTTCAGCATTTGCAGTCCTTTCATTTTGATTCTTATCCGATTTCCAAATGATCTTGTATCCGGTCACCTTACTGAACTTTGACCAATGTTTTTCCGACTCGGCAGTTCGAGGTTCATCAACAATGATCTCCAATTTCTCACCTTCGACTGGAGCTTCAGTAACTGTTTTCGTTTCCATCAATTTAGTAACTTCATCGATTGTCGAAACACTGGTGACCAGTGCGACCTTTTCATCATTTTCTGGTAACAAATCTATCGGTGGTTTATAATTATTGTCGACCTCTAGTTCTTCCGGTGTCGAAATAGATCTGACCTTTGATGATGATGATTTACGATCTATTCTGGTTACTGTTGAGAGAAAAATGAATTTACTTTATTGATTTAATGATGGAAATTGAGAAATCACCATGGAGAAAACAAAAGTTAATGGGTTACACAGTTAAGAGAGTTAATTGTTGCTCGAGAAAAAAGAAACATGAAAATGATTTAAAAATGTGATCAACACCAATTAACAATTAAGGTAAATGGCTTTTCTTTATTAGCTTTCATCGTAATAGTAATAATAATAATCAGTTAGAAAAACAATTAACAGCAACAACATTAAATCAACGAGCTTTGTATTGATTGAAAGAGAATTAAAAAAAAAAGTATTCAAGAGATCAGACAACAATTAAATTAATATTCTGAGATGATTTAATTGTCTATTGATCTGATTCAAAAAGTGCTTCCAATCCGTCAAGTTTAGCCAATAATTCAAAATCTGTATAAATGATTAGAGATAAATTATCAACACGATTATAGATTAAATTAAAATAGATTAACAATTAACAAGCTCAGGCTGAGACAGGACAATTTAGCTAAACAAGATAGAGAAACTAACATCTTAATCTAATTAATCTAATCTCAAACAATCAAAAACTGTACCCAAACTTTTTTTTCTGGTGATTTCTTGATAATCATAATTACAAATTGTGTTACAACCACAACAATTAACTTAATCAGCCTGGCTCTTGGCATTGGAAATCTATGTTAGTCCTTATAATCAAAGAGAGATGATTTAATTTACTCACAATTAGAGAATTCATCATTAGACGAGATTCCGCCGGAGGCATCAAGATTATTCGTTGTATCGTTTGTACCCTCAAGATCAAACATCGAATCGAGTGATGAAAACCTGAAAAAAGAATAAGAAAAAAGTTCATTAGTAACCGAATAATCCAATAGATGGAGAAAAAGAGACCAACGAATTCAAATGTATAGAAATTTAAATTGATAATAATTCAATTGATTCCTTAATGTATTCATACTTGATTGTTATTAAATTTCGAAACTTTTTACTTGCGAAGATTTTGTTTCTTGATTGAACTCATTTATATTATTCTGTTTCATTGGAATGAAAATTTTGTTGTTTTTCATTTCTACCGAACTTCATTATAACTTTTACTTTTTCCCATGAACATTAATATTCAATTCTAATCGAAGTTTCTTATTTCTTTCTTATATAAAAATCGATAAAAATGATCATTAGAACTTTTCGAAAAATCGAGACAATAATTGAAACTCACATTGCCATTGTATCGTTATTATTGACGAACGTCATGTCAACGATTGGATTAGTATCATTCATGGAAATGACCATTGGCTTGTCCACTGAAGTTTCATTTGCAGAGCTCAAAGGTTTAGGTGTTGAGGTTGAAGAAGAGGTTGAACTTGAAACGGTTGTGGTTGATGAAGACGAGGATGAAGATGGTGTTGTTGTTGATGTTGATGGTGATGGTGATAAGGATGTCGATGTTGATGTTGATGGCTTAGCTGATTCGTCAACAACACTTGGTTTAATCTTATCCTCTTCCTTTTCCGGTTTTTCTTTGTCCAATTTAACCTCAACTGGAACCTTATCTTTATCAGTGGCACTTTCGGTTTTATTAACATCGCCTTCGGGCTTTACGCTGGTGAAATTTTTGTCATCGGCGATACTTGAAAAGACGTTAATTGTTTCATCAATTGAACCACTTGCAGGAGCTGAAGCTTTAAACAATTAACAATCAAATTTAACTAATAACATAATCATCAACTTAATTTGGGTTTACTTACCTTCTCGGATTATTGATCCGCTTGTTAAATCACAAGATAAGATTAGAGAAATTACAATTATATGTAACATGTTTAATTAATTTAATTACAATCAGAGAGAGAGAGGGAGAGAAAAGAAAGAATAAGAAAATTAGTTAATTATAATGTTAATACTCGTTGATTTCTCTCAGGTAACAATCAGTCATCAAATAGAGAGATTTAATTTAATTGTTAGGTTTAAATACTGTTGGCAACCGAAGTGATTTAGCTAATTTAATGACAACAATTAAATGAAAAATCATTATAATCGTAACTATTAACTTAATCATCGTTAAATTATAAACAATTTCCTAGTTTTTTGTTTTCCTTTCAATTTGTTTCATTATATTTATGTCTAAAAAAGGGCTTAATTGTTAACAATTAAGAAAGAAAAATAAAATTGATAACCTTTTCCCTGTACAATATTGATTTTAATCAACGGAAATATTAATAGTTATCAATTTAATCATCAAGTTGGAAGTTTCCAACAACAAGAATAAGTTACAATCTAATTGGATAATCACAATTAAATTTTTAAATGGAAAAAGATTAACTCATTTCAATCAATATGTTTATATAAAATTTAATTAATTTAAAGTAAAAATCAATCATGATTAAGCCTCTTTCTTATATAAAACATTGATCTAAACTTAAGTATCCAAACAATCAAGATAAGTGACAATTGATTGTTGACAATTAACTTTGACGTCAATTCAGTAACATTGATTATTTTTGAAACATTTTTCTCTCAACTTAATCCTAAGAATTGAATAATTTTAATTATAAATGAAAAGCTAAAAGTTGAAAGGTAAGAAAAAAAAATATTATCATTATTAAAGATGAGAACTTAACAGAATCAATTAACTAATCAAACATTAACCAGAATTAGTTCATCTAATAAGAAGTAATCAAAATGATGATGTTAACCATGAAAAAGTATCCTGGTTACTAGAACTTAATTTCGAGGAGAGAAAACCAATTCAGTGGAAATAATTCTGAGGAAGAAGAAAAAAACTCGGAATCGAAAAGGTCTCTTGTGGGAGGAAGATGGAGGAAGGTGGAGACTTGGGGATGAGGATGGAGAGAGAGAGACAGAGAGAGAGAAAAAAAAGTTCTTTTTCACCGAAAAAGAATAGAAAAAAATTGTGTAGGTTGATCAATTGATTCTCTATGAGTTTTACCTGTGAAAATGATGATTAATATTAACCAATGATGATAATGATGGAAATTGTCAGAATCTAATTTATCACCAAATAGATAATCATCACTTTCATGGTCAACGTCATGTTTATTGTGATTAATTTATCTTCTTATCTAGTCAACATATCACATTTGAAATTCAAAATCAATGTGAACAATTAGATTTGTCTCATTGGTTTAATCACATTTTTGTCACACACAATCAAACTGATTATCATAATACACTTACACTTAGTGATATTTTCAAGGGCAATTTCAAAAGTAAACCCATTATGATGATAATCTTAATGATAACCAGAATACATGCTTTTCCAATTGTATGAAATATTAAAACTGCATAAACATGATAATGAACCCACGCTATCGCCATGAAATATTAATTCATTTCTCCTTCATTCCTTGTCACTGAATTTCTATCGTATTCTTACCTCCCAGTCTCTTTACTCGGTTTGAAATTTTGATAATCTCTCTTTCTCTCTTTTGTCTAATTCTATCATATCTATGAAATGAAAGTGAAAAAAGAGAAACATCAACAAAACGATGATGATGATGATGATGATGAGAAGGATGATAAACATGATGTGAAGTAATGAAATTGGTTGAACCTTGAATTTTTCTGGAAACTCAGAATACAGATAGATTGGATTTTCAATTCAGTGCGTAGGTGTTTCTACCTCTGTCTATTTCTCTTTCTAAAATTCTAGGTCAGGTCAAGGGTAAGGTTCTGATTGTGTAGGTGGAATGATGATTATCATGAGGAGGAATTGATAAAGGTGATTTTGCTTGTTTTCTCTCTCTCTCTCTCTCTCTCTCTCTCTTTCTTTCTCTCTCTCTCTCTCTCTCTCTCTCTCTCTCTCTCTCTCTCTCTCTCTCTGCGATTTTAGAAAGAGAAACTTTTTTGTTTTTTCGACAAGAACTTTTTTACTTCTTCATCGATCTGATTTTCGTGATGGAAATTAAATGAATGGAAATGTTTCCAAGAATTGATGATAAAATCCAAATATAATCAACAGGTTATCATTAGGGTTTGTTCATTTATTTTAATTTGAAAACTATTAATTTAAATCCAACAGTAATTAAAATTTGATGATGAAAAAAAAATCCATTAATAAGTTAATCAAATATTTTGAAATCGATGCAACTTTCATTAAAGGATAAATAAATTCCAATCAACGATTTGAATTGATAACATTTCCTTCTAGAATAATCATCATGTAACTTTATGAACAGAATTTAATAATTAATAATACTAACCTTGTTTACGAATCTATTATTTCTTTGATCATTTAATTATTCACAATTTCCACGATAATTCATCTTAATCATATCCAAAATCTTGCATTCAGACAATTAATTATTAAAATATTTCCTTCTCGCATCAACTGATTATCTTTAATATTCTGTTGATGAGAACAATTCAAAAGAACTATCTAATACAAGTTAATTAATTAGATGATTTCAATTTCTATTTTCATGGATTAACATTAAATCTCAATATGCTGAGAAATGAAACTCACCGGAAGAATATTTTTCTCATAGTTATCATGTAAGAAGAATTGAATTGAACGATTCGTTGAGTGATTATATGATTATCCTTTTTATATTATCCACCCTCTTGGTATCATGATGATTATTACATTCTGAGAGTCTCCATCATGGAGAATGAACTTTTGTATTCCCATGAGTCTCATTCGCTAGAAACAAACCTTCATTAACTTTATTTCCATCAGAAAGATACAAAAGATTCAAAACCTTTTCGTCTTACCTTTAACCTCTGGAAATGATCATGAACAACATCATGATCATCAGAATTACAAACATATTCACCCACTCATTTTAATTACCATGAAGAGGGAGACAAAAAAAAGTGATATTCTTACATTTGAAATATTGTGATTGTTAATTGTACACTTTCAATTAGCTCACTGGTTTGAAAGGTTAAACTAATTGGCTTGACTGTCGGTTAATTGTTGTTGATTCTGTGCAAATCATCAAGGTTAATGTTGATTGATAACATGAACCGTTATTATCTCCAGAGGATCCAACATGTTTCTCAATTTACATTTTATCTTTAATCATTAACAATCTAAATCATAATCAAGTAACATGATAATCATGATTAAGGATAAAATTAACCTTTTACAATTTGTATCATGAAACATGTTAATTGCTTCCAGACTGAATTATCATTAATTATCTTTATCCAGATGAAAAGAAACCTTATCTGTGTTTATTTCTGTTGATTGTTATACAATTAATTTCACTCTGATTATCATATCTAATTTTAAATACTGATTATTATGATTACTATTATTATTGGACGACCAATTTAATGATTTAGTTGTAAATTGTAATTAATTGTTGCCAAACTACATGACTTCAAATGTTAGTAATATACAAGGAATGAATAATTTTAGACATTTTATTCAATTAATATTAATAGATGATTATGTCAATCAAAGTTAATTAACTTTGTAGAAATGGTTTAATTAGATTTGGAAAGTATTAGATTAAACTGTGGAAGTAAAATTCTTGATGATCAGTGAACTTTAATTGTGAAAAATAATCGAATAACTTTGATTAGAACTCGAAAGAAAAGTTCATTTGATGTAATAATATTTCACTTGTTTTTTTTTCCTCTTTTTTTCGTTCTCTTATATTATTATTATTATTTAATTTCTATTTTTATCATTATCATCATCATCATGATAAACATCATGTTCGTAATATCATCTTGAGTTTTTATCCTCATCATTTGACAAGAAATTATGAAGAAGAAAAAAAAATACATTTACTCTTGGTTACATTTCCAATCCAATTTGATTGACATTTTCATTACAAATCCATTGATTGTTGAGGTATTTCCCTTTTTTTTGTTTCTCTTACACTCTCGTGATTATCGTTGATTCAGTTTCCCATATATACTATCATGATGATCATTTCACCAGATATTAAATAATAATCACTCACTGATAACATAATTTTAAAGTTTCCGTTTTTTTCATGATCCATATCCTCATGAAACTGATGAATATAATGTTATTATTGTAAACTCTGTAGACTCTATATGATATATATTTTCATGATTCCTATTGAGTATGTCTATTGATAACTGACCTAACCTCTTTTCGTTCATGTCTTGAAAAGTTCACGAAAGGTCAGGTCAAATTAATGATTCTTTCATCATCAAATTTTCTTGCTCTCTCTCTCTCTCTTCCTTGTTCCCAGATTTCTAGTCATCATCTTCCTCTGTGTATTTATGAGTATCTTTTAAATTCAGAGTAATCAGTAAATTGTTCCAAGTCAATCAGAATCCAACTTTTGATTACTATTATTATCGAGGTGAAATTCTAGTTTTAATAATAATGCTAAAGAAAATGAAGAAGAAGAAGAAAAAAAACTCACATCAAATCTCATTGGAAAACATTAATCTCAGTAATTTTGTTCCTTCTGATGATTGAAATTTTCAGTAACTATTCAATTCTAATATTTAGCTTCTAACACCAAGGCTCCTGATTCATGGGAATAAAAATTGGAATGCTCCAGTTTCCAGAATAATAAATCGATACCCATTATAATGGGTTCACCTTGTTTACATGATGATGATGATTAGTAACTCAACTTTTCGTCTTCACTCAAACCCAACAGGTTAAAACCAGGAAAAGAAACAAAGTGAACCAGAATTTTCATCGAATTGAGATTTTCATCTATTTATTTAGTTATTTTCTTTTTCATGGTGAGAATTAGGAGAAGACGATGATGAGAATATAAAGAGTCTATTGGTTTTAAGTTACTAAGCAACTAGAAGATGATTTCGACCTGTTCTGATGTTGATGTTATCATGATGATCATCATGATATTAGCTGAAAATAACATGAAATTTTTATTCATCCAGAAAGTAAAACCAAATTCACCTTCACCATGGTACCTTATCTTCATACTCGATGCTTCCATGAACTCATGTTGGCTTACTAATAAACACTA